TTTTTTCATCATTTTTACTTCTATTTACTTCAAATGAACCTTTTAAGCTCCTTTTTGGATGATTTAAGTCCCCAAAAAGTCCTTTTTCTTTTCCATCTTTCAGAATTATCTTCCTTTTAATCACTTGTTTTCATTTATTTCATTTTAATTATTCTTTTTGGCTTTTTTTGATTCTTTTTCGTCTTTTATTTGCTTCAAATTGGCCTTTTTGGCACTTTTTGATCCTTTTTATTTTTTAATTTGCTCAAAAAGTGTCTTTATTGAAATCCGAAAAGTTTTTTCTTTTCCCTTTTTCTGAAATATCTTTTTAATTCATTTAAAATATTTTTTGTCATTTTTTTTTCTTTTTTATTTTTTATTTCCGTCAAAGTGGCCTTTTTGGCTTTTTCAATAATTAAAATCTCTTGCAAATATGCCTTTTCTCTTTTTTTATTTATTTAAATTCTGTTTTTGTCTTTTTATTTATTCTTTTATTCTTTAAAATCTTTTTTTATTTCTGTAAAGCTTTTAAATCTTTTATTTATTTGTTTAGTCTTTTAACTCTTTTCCCAAGTCGTTGGCATCTTTTATTAATTCTTTTAAACATTTAATTTCCAACATTCGAAATATTTTAAATGTTTGATTTAATCATTTAAAAGACATTTATCATTTAATTAAATAATTAAAAACATTTCAAAAGTTTAATTATTTAAACTAATCATTTAAAAGGCATTTATCATTTAATTAAATAACTAAAAACATTTCAAAAGTTTAATTTAATTATTTAAACTAATCATTTAAAAAACTTTTATCATTTAATTAAATAATTAAAAACATTTCAGAAGTTTAATTTAATTGTTTAAACTCTTTTAAACATTTAATTTCAAAACTAAAAACTTAAAAACGAAAAGAATTAAACTTCCCGCACTTCCGTCTTCTCCATTTTTCTTGTTTTCCGCGAATTTGGAAGATAAAAAGCTGGAAAAAGCGCCAACAAGCTGAAAACAACAAAAGCAATTCAAATAAAATCCAAAAAAAGAAAAAAAAGAACTCCTGGCGAGTTAAAAAGACCCATTTGCTGCTGCTGCTGCTGCTGCTGCTGCTGCTGCTGCTGCTGCTGCTGCTGCTGCTACTGCTGCAGGGCTGCGGGCGCTTCCTGCTGCACTCCGCGTGGACCCGCGCCCGCTGCGCGCGGCTGCTGCAGCGGCTGCTGCGGCTTGCTGCAGCAGTAAATTTGTCTCCGGAAGATGAGTGTCTCCTTTTGGACACTTTTTACTTTTTGAATAATTTAAATTCCAAATTAAACTCCAAGTCCAACTCCAAGTCCAATTCCCGAAAGAAAAACAAGGCCGACGCGCTCCAGCTTTTCGTCCAACACCTTCTCTTCCACGAGCTCTACCAGGGGTGCTTTTTTGTTTTTTTATTTTTTTTTTTTATTTTTTTTTTGATTTTCTTTTTCGTTTTGTCCCCTTTTGTTTTCTCTTTTTATTTCGTCTTTTTCGTCTTTTTTGTCTCCTTTTTTCGCTTTGTTTTGTCTCCTTTTTTGCTGGCTTTGTCTCCTTTTTTTGCCATTTTTGTCAATTTTTGTTTCCTTTTTGTTGCTTAATTTTATCCCTTTTTTGGCTTTTTTTGTTTCTTTCTGTCCCCTTTTCTGTTAACTGTTGTCTCCCTTTTTTTGTTTCCTTCTGTCTCCTTTTTTGTTTAATTTTGTCTCTTCGTTCGTTAACTTTTGTCTCCTTTTTTCTTTAATTTCATCTCCTTTTTTATTTAAGTTGTCCCCTTTTTATTTAATCTTGTCTCCTTTTTATTTAATTTTGTCTCTTTTTTATTTTTCTTTTTATTTTTTGACTTTTTTGTGCACTGTCTCCGAATTGTCTCTTTGTCTTTTTGCGTTGTGGCGTCATTTTGTGCTTTCCGGTTTCGATTTTTGGCCAGAAATGCATTTCTGGAGAATTCGGATTTGAATTTGAAGGAATTAAAGCAATTAAATGCTTAATTTCCCGAAAAAATCCCGAAAAATCCACTAAAAATCTCCGAAAATTGCCACTTTTTCTCTTTTCAGAGACGACACTCAAGAGACCGTCGCGCGCCTCGCGCGCAAACTGCCCTGGGGCACAGACCCGCAAGTGCTGCGCTACTTCAGAGACAGCTGGCTGGGTAATTTGCAGTTCGTAGTTGCAATTTGAATTACTTATTTTCATTTTTAGAAACAATTTGTAATTCTTTTTGGGGTTTAATTGGCTCCTTTTGTTCAGGATGTTCTGCTGCATCGAATGGTTATTCATTTGTTTAGTCATTTGTTTTTTTAATTTGGAATTTTCCTGAGAAAGCTCCCACTTTGGACAGCTGGCTGGCTAAATTGCAATTTGTACATTTATTTTAATTACTTATTTTCGTTTTTAAAAACAATTTGTAATTCGTTTGGGGATTTAATCAGTGCGTTTTGATCGATTGGTTATGCATTTGTTTGGCTATAAATCGCAATTCGTAATTGCAATTTTTAATTACTTATTTTCATTTTAAAAAGCAATTTGTAATTAATTTAGTGATTTAATTGGCTTGTTTTATTCAGGATGTTCTGCTGAATGGATTGGTTATTCATTTGTTTGGTTTTTTGTTTTTGAATTTTTAATTGGCTTGGCCTTAGGGACAGCGGGGAGGGTAAATTGCAATTTGTAATTGCAATTTTTAATTACTTATTTTCATTTTAAAAAGCAATTTGTAATTAGTTTGGGGATTTAATTACTTTGTTTTGATCAGGGAATTGTGTTGAATCGATTGGTTAGTTATTTGTTTGGTTTTTTGTTTTTTGGATTTGGGATTTGTTTGGGAAATTTGCTAATTTGTTTGGACTGGCTAGTTGTAATTAACTAATTGATTATATTCTTGCTAGACTTTAATTGCAATTTTAATTAAATAGTTAATTAAGTTCTTGCTCAGTTTTAATTGTAATTTGTAATTATGCAATTAAAGTGTTGTTTATTTTTAATTGCACTTCGTAATAAGCAATTTAATAATATAATTCGCATTAAAAACTAAAATTAAGAAAATAATTACCATTCGATCTTATTTGCAATTCTGTTAAATCAAAAGAAATCAGAAACGAAAATAGTAAAAGTAAATGAGAATTGGCAGAAAGCAAATAAAACAAATAATAAAAAGTGAATAAATTTCCGACTAACAAATAAGTTAAAAACAAACAAACGACTCACAAAAGGAAGGCAATTTTTAGGTACTTAGAAAGCATTTAAAAATACAATTAATTAAAATTAATTAAAAACAATTAACAAATAAGCGATACTGACTAAAACTGATTAAAAACCTCTAAAAAACAATTTAAAAACAATTAAAATTAATTAAGATTAATTAAAATTAATTAAAACTAATTTAAATCGATTAAAATTAATTAAAATTAATTAAAATGAAGTAAAACCATTTCAAAATCCAAAAAGCAAAAAATTCAAAAAAGCAATTTCCTGCTGGAACTGCGCATACACCCCAAATCACGAAATAAAAAAATGGCAAAATAAAATCTTTTGAAACAATTCTCCTTCTTCATTTATTTATTTATTTATTTATTTTATTTATTTATTTATTTATTTATTTATTTATTCATTTATTTATTTAGTTATTTATTTATTTATTTATTTATTTATTTATTTATTTATTTATTTATTTATTATTTGTTTTTTCAGAACTCGGGACCAACACGAAGTTTCAGTTTCTTCACCGCCACGCAGCGCTTTTGGCGGACTTGGCGAAATATATTCCATTTCAAGTTATTAGCTGCATAGACGCTCTTTTAGAAGACATACAGGTGCTGCTGCTGCTGCTGCTGCTGCTGCTGCTGCTGCTGCTGCTGGGCTTCTATTAGTTAATTCTTCCTATATTTATTTATTTGTTTTAATTTATTTCTTTTTATTTCTTTTATTTTATTTTTATTTTTATTTTTATTTTTATTTATTTATTTTTGCTGCAGTATGGCATGGAGACAGAAGACCCCAGCGAGGCCCCCCGGCGCCTCCGCCAGGCCAGACTCTTGGGGGAGCTTTACAACTACAGGTTAGCTAGCTAGCCAGCTAGCTAGCTAGCTAGCTAGCTAATGAGCTAGCTATCTGATTAGCTAGCTAGCTGGCTAGCTAGCCAGCTGGATAGCTAGCTAGCTAGGTGCACGTTAGCTAGCTGGCTAGCTGCACGTTAGTTAGCCAGTTATCTGCACGGTAGTTGGCCAGCTAGCTGCTCGTCAGCTAGCTAGCTAGCTAGCTACAGGTCGGCTAGCTAGCTAGCTAGCTGCAGGTTGGCTAGCTAGCTAGCTAGCCAGCTAGTTAGAGGTGGGCTAGCCAGCTAGCTGTCAAGCTAGCTACCTAGCTAGCTAGCTAGGCAGATGGCAAGTTAGCTAGCTAGCTAGCCACCTAGCTGGCTAGCTAGCTAGCTAGCTAGCTAGCCATAGCTCTCCATGATCTCCTTTTACTGCATTTAAAAATCCTTTTATTTCTTTTTATTTCTTTTTATTTCCTTTTATTTATTTTGACTTTTGTTTTAATTTAGGCTAATAGACTCTTCCGTGTTGTTTGATGTCTTATACTCCCTTTTGGGGTTTGGCGGGGCTTCTTCATTTCAAGCCGGAAACATCCGCACTGCCCACAAGCTGCTGCTGCCTACCCCGCAGCAGCAGCAGCAGCAGCAGCAGCAGCAGCAGCGGCAGCAGCAGCAGCAGCAGCAGCAGCAGCAGCAGCTGCTGCTGCTGAACGTGTGCTCTTCGCCCCCCGAAGGGCCTTCGGACTTGACGCGTTTGAAATGCATTTTGGAGATTTTGCGCAGCAGCGGAAAATATTTTAAATCTGGAAAGTCGAAGCAAAAGTTGGACCGCTTTTTGGTTTTCTTCCAGCGCTACTTCCGCAAAAGGGTCAGCAGCAGCAGCAGCAGCAGCAGCAGCAGCAGCAGCAGCAGCAGCAGCGGCGGCGGCGGCAGCGGCAGCGGCAGAAAGAAGCAGCAGCAGCGGAAAGCTGCAGCAGCAGCAG